ACTTCTGTTTTCTGAAGGAATCTTTACTTGGAACTTATTTATGACGCCATAAAAACGTCATTACCGGTGTTTCACTGTCGATCAGTAACTCTATCTGGTAATTTCTCCAGGAACTATTGTTTTTTACGCACATCCGCCTAAGCATTGGCCTGATATGTTAGTAATAAATTGGTGGATTGTAGTGTATTCTATTATGTGGATAATGTACATCAGAGAAGTCATATAGAGGTAAAGTTAAATCGAGATAATCACAACGCATGTGGCAGTAAAAATTTAGGAAGCCAGACACTAGATATTTATCTCAAATACTTTGTACGTTCTGCTTGAGATTTCTTCTAACGTTTGCATATTGCACAGTGTGGAAGCCGCGCAGAAGGATAATACACATACTTTAAGACACAGCTTCACCCATCATTAGTTAATGTCAGACTTTACACTTGAAATGTTTCTTGACAAGTGTGAAGAGTGATAAAATTGGAATTAACACATCAATTTATATATTTTCTTATTTTTTGTCAAACGCTTTTGTTTAAGAGCAACTGCCAAATCTTTTATGCTGGCCCCAAAACAACGTATGGATACAGTGCCAGTCAACTGTTCTCCTCGCTGGCAAGATGAGTACATTTGAACACATGCAATGATGCGCCCCGCTAAATAGGCGGACGACTGCGAGTTTCATATCACCCACTTTCAATGATCTTCGTGACTTCGTCCAGTGTAAGATGACGAGCTTTGCCTGTTGCTTCTAGGTGAAATAAAGTCGTACATCGTCATTGTAGCAAGATCATGCTCCTATATCATGCGCATATCATTCTTCCAGATAGTCTCAGGATGGAAAGGTGGTCGAAGAAATAGCCTAAAACTCAGAATGCGGGAACTCGAGCCTTAATATACGACTGTCAACCGTATGACGATGTATTCATAGATATGAATTAAGATGGACGATATTTACTGAGTGAAAGGAAGCCCATGCGTGAGAATTGAGGTGAGGTAGATGGGTGTCGTAGTACCGCATTACAGTGTAGAGCGTAAACCTAAGAAAACGGCCGCGGAATACCGCAGAGAAATGGACCCTTCCTTCGTCGCGTTGATTTGAGCATTTGATGGCACTCTCATCGCTTTGCCCTCTTCAACCCTACGCTCTCTCAGCTATCTAATCACTCGCCCACCCTATTGTACTACGGCGAGTGATCAGACGATCGGTGGGCGGAGATCGCGGCGAACTCGCCAACTTTGAGCCATGCTAGCTCTCAGAGGTCAAATCTTTCGATGCCGATTTGTGTGTCTGTCCCGCGACCCTAAGAGGCAGATTCACCCGCTCTCCCCTGGCGGATGTTCTCCACTTCCTGTCGACCTTTTCGTTCTTGGTCGCCGCAATCCTCCTTTAAGTATGAATATGAATAATAAATACTGGAACGACAACAAATGATGTTTACAGAACTAAATATGTAATCATAAAACTACTATCACATTTTGTTCCACCAGTAGTCAATGGAGACCACTGCAAATTTACAGAACTTGAGCCAAAAGGCTCGCCTTGAAGGCCGAGATGTGCTCAAATTTGAATATTATAATTCTTATTGTACCAAGAGTTCATCGCAAATAGGTCTATTATTTTGCTACCATTAAGGTGAAAATGCTAGAGCACTAGTCGAGAACACATTAGGCGAAGAATATCCTTGCAAAGCGGTTGGCTAAGTGCCAATTCTGGACCGCCCGCCTTTCGGTCGACACTCCCATTTGCCAGCCGTGTGGATCGTGAGATTGGCTGCGTGGCCCCATGCGATTACATGCAAACTAAGGCCACGTTGGAAGAAGTGCTGCCTGTTTTTCTGATTGATTTATTACCTAGGATCGTCTAATTATCACAGTTACTTTTTCTGTAATGCGTTTCTGATTTCCCTATTCTGTAGATTTGTTTGTTTGTTTCCTGCTGGCACGGGACAGCAATAAATTGCGGCGGAGCAAGCCGCCTCCAAAAGCAATCCGCCCACTGGTTTACTTGTGATTTGGACGAGCTGCGTGCCAGCAGCGGCACAAATGGAGCATCTCGATTAAAGCGTGGTTTGGCATGGTGCCATCAAACGCGTTGCGGTGAACTCGTTCATACGTCCACTTTCTGAGCTGTTACCTGTTCATGAGTGAAAACCAACGGCCAAAAAAGGGGTCCCGTTTTGCGTTTCTTGACGGATTTTTCTGCTTTTTTTTTCGCCACTGGCGTACCATTGAGCACCACCACGTCACACTAAACCCTTCTTGAATTTATCGTAATCGCTGCCTTTAATGTCTATTTCTGAACTAACATTTGGGTGGGAACAGTGAGGCCTATAATGTGCATATGTAGTTCGAGGATCAATCTAAAGTCGTAACCCGCATACATGAGCCTAATTTCTGTGGATCATTAATCGATGCTAGGAATGACTGGCGCTACACAAAGCCCAGTGGGATTTCTGAAAAATTGGTCTAACACAGGGTTTCTTCATAATTTCTGTAATAAATTACATTTTGCTAGAGAATTTTTTTGGGAACTCTGAAACTTCTGCAACATGTTTGTTAACTATCATCCACTTTTGCACGTTCGATCAACCAACCAGTACCTTGACTCGCTACTTTTTATGGCTATTGCAACGATTCCAAGAAAAGCACCTTGTGTCCTTAATTTTCACAAGCACCGCTCAGGATCTTCCGCAGGTCAGCTTACACATTATGTTTCTCCATCTAGGCGTGCGTATCCTTTGCGTGTAAGCGTGACGATGCACCGGCCGCTTCGTGTCTCCCAGCGGTAGACCTTATTTATATGAAGATCATCCCAGTGCTATGTCGTCTGTTAGAATCTTGAAGCTCTACGTTGATGCTCTTGGAAAAGGATCAGCAGAAACTACCGATCATCGCCGCGACAATTTGGTGCGATAAGTTTCACTTTTGAGATTCTTCCGCTTTGAGAATCCTTTCGGCGAAGATTTATTTGATTCTGGTAGCCCTTGCGATCCGATATTTAGCGGAAGGGGACGTAGTCTATTCTATCTGGATTGTGGTGCGATGACGGCGAGAGGACAGCATTGTGGAAAAAAAGAAACAAGCGTGGTAGTCAGCTCACAAGGAGGTCTTCAGGGCAGGCCAGTTTTTCCAAAAGGCTTTCTCGCATCTAGTAGGGACGCATGTAGGGAACACAAAACCATGTTTGTTTGCGCTGAACGGTTTTAGCAGGTACTGTTAATGGTTCGATCCCCGTGGCGACTAAATTTTGCATTTGGGTTGGCGCCTACGGTTTGGTGCCAAATCGCGCTAAATGTCAAAAAAATCAGATGTCAATTCATCGTCAGGACCATTTTGAAGCCAACAAGTGGCCGCCAACCTTGATTGCAAAATTTAGTCGCCGCGGGGATCGAACCATCAAGGTATCATTCACCACTTTTTTGGTACTACTAAAACCGTTCAGCGAAAACGAAACATGGTTTTGTGGTCCATACATGCGTCCCTACAATATGCAAGAAACCGTTTCCAAAAAGCGCGGCTTGCCCTGAAAGACCCCCCCCTTGTAGAGCTTTGTATTGGGTTGGAGCATAATATCGTAGCGCTTGCATTTTTCATTTCTTCACACAAACATTTGAAGCAAAAAATAAAAACATAAAACTAATCAGTGATGTTCACTTCGTCATTATTTACAACTTGATTGCATTTGAGATCACCGGATATAGAATTTAAAAAAATATTGAGCTCTTTTCGGAGTCCTTATTATTCTCAATTTGTACGAAATGAATATGGTTTTAATTTGAGCGAAAAAGGTAGGGTCGTTAGAGCAAGGTTCGATTAGAACAATGGATTTAAAAGAACTTCCAATTTGGCGTTTTTTCTTCTTTATTTGAACCGAGGAATAGCAGCTGTCGAAACGCCGATTTTCGCCGTCTGGATTTTCCAACTTCTAAGCTCTATACCTGAGTACAGCTACAATTTTGAAGAAAATGACAACTACGGTTTTGTAGAGCGGGAAGAGTTCCAAATAGTATGAGCGTTTTTCGGGTGATACTTGTACTGATTGAATTTATACGCTCGAAAAAAAACGCTACGATATTATGCTCCAACCCAATAGTTCCTGGTTGTTGAAGTTCAAGTTCGTCCAAGTCCGGGCCTTTCCGGGTTTGAGGTGGAATACTAGAGGAGCTGAACAGTGGAAACCCCTAGAAGTAGATATTACCAACGCAGAAGTTGAGCGCCCATAGCTCGAGGGCAACACTCTTAATATGAAAGAAAACAAGACAAAGTCTACTTTGTTACGACACCGTCGATCCACCAAGTGCTAAGGAGATCCGGGAAAATTTTGGGACTTGTGGACGGAGTTCATATTCTCCTTAGCGCCCTGATTGCCCACCCTCTCTTCGAGACCACTTCTTAGAAAAAAATCACATTGAACATCAGGATGTCAAAATCGAGATCCAATCATTCTTCGACCAAAATCTCATCGAATTCTACCAGAGAAGCTCGAGCTTCTAGCGTTTTGACAATAGTTGTCAGTAATGATGGTGTGTATTGCTGGAGGCATGAAATAAAGAAGTAATAAAAAATAAAGTCGGAATTTAGCCAATTTGTTGCAGAAATTATTTACCAACCAGTAGAATACAGCAGAGAAGCGGGAAGTAAGTAAAGGTATATAAGCCCTTTCATTGGTTCTGAGGGATCTGGTAGTAGTCAAAAGATTGTGCTCAGGTGAAGGAATCGTTTTATACATCACTTTGCAACTTTTAAACTTTCTTAACTGGTAGCACATTCATCGGTAAGCGAGAGACGCGAGTTCGAGTCCCCCTCGGGTGAAGTGCTTTACCCTAAGCTCAGCATTTTTGAGATAGCATGGTTTTTCTGACTCAACCTACCCATCAATCGCATGGAACATGCGCCATGGCGATGTTTCGCAATAACGTCACGTTGTTGTGCAACGCCCGCCGCTATAAGAGCAGCGAGTGGACAGACGTGAACGTTCTTCACCAGCAACGCTGTGATTCATCATGGATTCCCCCGATGAACCGGAGTGCTCATACTACAGTTCTAATGATTCTCTTTATTGGTTTTATTACGAAGAACCGGATCCTTTTTTGTAAGTTAATGATCTTATTTACATCGATTCTCGAAAGTAAATATCTAAACATTTGTAGTTAATGATCTTATTAACATCGTTCTCGAAAAGTAAATATTAAAAATTCCAGATGGAACGCTTTCAAGATTGCCGTTCTATAAGTCTAAGGCGTTTACTACATGCTGTGGAATAACTGCCGACCAAATGTCCCAATCAATTGCACCATGGGATACGAGGAAACCTCGTTCTCACGTTGGGAATTTTCCGAATCTTTTACTTTAATTATTTATATCGCAGTTCAATCAATCATAACAGTGAGAAGTAATTGAAGAAATACACCCGCGGACAACAGATGAGCACAGAGACGTCATGTTGGCCCAAATTCCCTAAAGGAGGTCGGTCGAACTACCTTCCTATCTTCCTATAAGGCGAAGGCTTTATGTTAACTCTATCACTTCGAAATCGTTTTCGCTTGCAACTTCAGCTAGCTGTCAAAGAAATGGCGAAGTGTTTGTCGAGCAACAACGAGCATCCACCTCTGACTCACTCACTATGATCAAAAAAAAAACGTTTACCATCAGTTACAGTAACCCCTTTCGCATTTTCTTTGTTGGCTCTTCCAAGCGGCCAAGAGTTGCGTTGGAAACGGCGCAGCTCTTCGGGTCCATATATGTACAGCTGCTGAAACGTGAAAATTCCTAGCGTTTCATGAATTTAAATTCCTTTACTCGCCCCGGAAAATTCTTGCTTTTCTTAAGAAAACATGACTTCGTGGTCACGAATTCGGATGTCTCCTCCGAAAAGACGAACACGACCCTCTCCCCTGTTGTCGCTACCCAACGGCTGATTGCACCTTGGTCAACTGTAAATAAGCGGCTGGAACTCGGTAGAAAGAATAAATGGTCTGAGCCCATGCAGGCCAGATGAACCCTTGGGTAGTACCGCTAGATCACATGTTACCAGACTCACTTGGAAAGGAAAACAATGCTCTGAATGCTGGCTGAGTTCAGATCCAATTTGGGTGATTTTTAGCTATATATGAATTGAAAGCCTTAAAATGATGAAAGGAAGTCGGATGCATGCCACAGTGAATTGATCAGCACCAATTTCCTATTTTTTCCAGTCGAGTTTTTCGAGAGAACACACAATAAAACAACCAAAACATCGCTAGGAACCGTGAGTCATCCGTTCCGAAAGGTTCACTGAAAAAATGAATCGATAGCTCCGCTCTGATAGCACAGCGCAGCAATTTTCCTTGGCTGGCTATCGATTCGATCTCTTGCAAGAACAGCAGAATTTTCCTTTTAAACATTCAAGTCGAAATTCTTTGTTACCCGTGTTACTTAGCAACGAGGCAGCCATTTCGGGACACGCATGTTTCATTATGACGTCACATTATTGTGCAATTTGTTGCATGGGTTGTAAGTAGTAGGCTCTCGATAGCCTCGTTCAGAGCCTTCTCACCTTTTAGGGCTCGCTTCAATTCTCTGGAAAACACTTATATTTACTTGTTATCATGAGGGTATACTCGAAAGATGACGAGCCAATTTCTAAGATTCTTCGTTAGGGGGTCATTTTAAATGGTAGTGTCTTTTCGAAAGTTGTTAGGATTCAGTCAAAGCTATTTGGTGAAGGTTGGGGAAGATTTCAAGAGTTTTCGAGAAATTCTCTCGTGATTTCTTGAAATTTCGAGAATTTATGAAAAATTCATAGTTGTGGTTTCCATTTCTGCTCTTCACCGCTTCATGGACAGCTTTTGGGTGAAGTCAGGTGCTATTCTAGGGGTAGCATAAGGGTTAATGAGTCATAGTGACGTCTCATACACTATTCATGTTGACGGTGCAGGTCCTTTCCTTGTTTATTATTTTTGAAAACCTGCTTAAAGACAAACCCCAGAATAAAATGGTCTATAAGAGCGCACCTTAGTGACGGAAGAGCTAACGTTTCGATTGAATCGTCGTCTTCAGAGACCGAAGGTTCAACCGTGTGAGCGGAGAAGTCCGTTGCCACGCTAGAGTGCTAGTCAATCGTAAGCTAAAGTGAAGGCCTTGACCTCCAGTGAGGTCGGAAGTAGTACGACGGCGAGACTGGGCGATCAAAGAAAACAAAGTACGCGAGAGAGCACGTAGTTTGAGAGGGCACGCTGATCTCACAGCAGTCGAGGTGGGTGTAAAGCGTTGCAGATAAGCGGCCGATGGGTTGCAGCACTTTAAGGATTTAGTGCATCCAACGCGCATTTTTGTGCGGTTCGGGTGTGGCACGCCTCTCTGTACGGGCAAGACACTACATAGTTCCCTCGCTGAGCTCCTGTCAACTACCGAGGCTGATCCCAGGGCTTGCTTTTAAGCAAGCCCCTTCATCATTATGGAGAGCCGCAGTTGAGCTGAAATTGAGCTCTTACGGTCTGAAGAAATTTTCCAAACCACTTCCTACTTGGTAGTGGCTCTGTATTTGACTACTCGTTTGTGCAGCATTGCTTCTAACACCACACCAAAACATCTCGATATGAAATGAAAGGACTCGATTGGAGGGACTTTGTTGATAAATAAATGGTTATCTTGCTGGAGAATAATATAGGTGGAAAACAGATCAGCAATAAAGAAAATTATTAACTAGACTATATAAGGCACTAAATTTGCGGGTAAGGTTTTTGTTGGGGTTACAGTGCTGCAGTGGACAATGTATAGAGACAGTGGACACTGTGGAGAGTATATAGAAGAGGGAGTACACTAGCGGGGGGGGGGGGGACGTGGACGCTACTGTATGCACATCTGTAGGTAGCCGGGGCCCAGAGCAGAAGTTCAGGTCCCCCACAGTAGTCACCTGGAGCCCTTTCACAATGTTTTCAGATCGCAAAGATAACAAAATCCCTCGGGAAGACCCCCCTCCACCCCTTCAGGAAGACGTTGCTCACCTTAGCCGAAGTGTGAAATGTGCCTTTATGGCTTTTTTTCCGTGAAGCTCATGAATTCTTCAAAAATTCCTTCCACTCATGAAGAAATTAGTTTCTTCCCATGTCTTTCAAGAATGCGACGGTGTTCCCATCACTTCCCTCCAAATCAGGCTTGACGGGCGGACGGATGACCCTGCAATTTCAAGATCGAACCCACTGCAACGACTCCGCTGATGAAAACTATAAATCCGTCACGAATGTCGAGCCCTGCCTCGGCTAGGAAACCTTGAAAATCACAAGAATAACAAGTATTAGCGAGAGTCAATAAGTCTGAATAAGTTTCTGCTGCAGGAGCAGTAGCAACCCGGTATGGTGGAAGAAGCCAGGCAGTGGAGAAGGCAGACGGAGGAAAGGGAAAAAGCTTGGCTCAACAGTAGCCCCCGGTGCTGCACTGTCTTCAATCATGAAAACTGTGGTGGATCCGGACAACACTGTTGGCAAGGTAGTTCATTTTGCTATAAGGGGTAGTATCGAAAACAAGGGCTTGATCGCCTATGATGAGGTTCGAGCTTCAGAGACGTAAGCAACGATTGCTGTCTAAATGTGCCGACAACTTTGCGCCAGGTGTTATCTATTCCATGGAGAAGAGGAAGCGATGGGAAGAGGTGAGTCGTTAATGAGCCAGTTGAACTCAATCAGTGTTTTTGCAGTTGGTTCTTTGCAGGCTAACCCGGCGTCTCTACTTG